TTGGGGACTCTAGGAGGCCAAGATCTAACTTCCACTCTGGATACAGGTATCCTTTAAAAAGGCTAGGTTGGCTGGGGAGCCGGCAGTGCATAAACGATGTAGGTGACTCGGACCTTTCTGAGTGAGGGCTCTTCTAACTCTGAACTGAAACCCCTTTCTGCTGAAAATAAGGTCCGAGAACAGGCATGGCCTGGGTGATTAATAAAAAGGCATTATCTCAGGCCTCCTGAATCAGAACCTTCATTTTAACAACACTCCCAGGTGGTTTCCGTTTACGTTAATGTTTCAGAATAGCTGCTTTATACTTCCCAAGATTTCCAGTCCAGAAGACAACGTTGACCCTGCATTTGGCTCTGCAGTGTCCTATACTGCAAACCTCATGGAGATACTAAGGTCTGAGCCTTGTGAGTCAGACTCTGAATCTTTATAGCTTCCCAGGCATCACTTTTCACTGAATCAGGATGATATAATGAAAGTGATATCTGGGATGATATACGTAGAACACCTATAGTGAACGTGGATACCTGGGAATGTGTAGAAGCATTCAGGAAGGGAAACCATTGTATACAAAGAGGTGCTCAATCAGCCTGAGCTTGAAAGACTGATGGAATGTGTATTAGGGATGGATTTATTCACCAACTTGGTATCCCACAGATATTTTCTCTAACCAAGGGACTCTACAGTAAAAAGGACATGGTAGTCTGTTGCTAAAATGACTTCCAGTGATCCTAGCCTTGTATAATTCCTTCCCACATTGAATTGGTCTGTGTAAGGAATGTGTGTAAGGAACAATGGAGTGTTACTTCTGGAGCTAGGTCGCAAAAGTTATTGTGGCTTCAATCTTGCTCTCTTGAACCACGTGCTGTGGAGGAAACCAGTTGACCTATCTGAGCATATGTCAGATTAGCTCTGTGGAGAGGTCCATGTGGGGGTCCGAGGCGTCCTGCCAGTAGCAATGTGAAGAAGCTATCTCGGAAGCCAGTCCTCCAACCTCAGTCAAGCATTCAGATGATTAAGTCTCTACTGAAAACTTAACTGCAATCTCATAAGAAACCCTAATGCAGAACCATTCAGCTAAACCACTGTCAGATTCCTGGCTTTACGATCTGTATGACAGAAATGTTTACTGTTTTATGTTGCTACATTTTGAAATAATTTATTGCTCACAAGTAGGTAATACAAGGAGTCAGGCTAATATCCATTGATATTTGCTTGGTATTTGCACTATCATCAGAAGCAGCTGACCTCATGGAATAGAGAAATGGTCTTTTAAAGACTCTGTTTTGGCACCATTTGAAGCTACCCTGTAAGTTTTTGGTGCTACTTTACATGATACACTATAAGATTTAATATCAGTGGACAATATACACAGAACTTTCTTTCAACCAGGAATTTATAGGGCAAGGATAGAAGGGATACAAGTGGGATATAACTTTTTGTAATACCTAATAATCTGCCTGCAAAATTTTGTTACTCCAGCAACACTGGGCTCTGCAGAGATGTCTTGCTAGCCAATTTGAGCTACATTTGTTACTTGATAAACTGACCAGAAGGGGGATCCTGACATTGGTATGACTTTGATGATTGATAGAAAATAGTTTTGCTGTTGCACAATGGTGAAAGAAAGGATTATGGATAGAAAGTTGAGAGGATTCTGGAGTTGACATGTACTGTGATGGCAATTAATGAAAACTAGAATAATCTTATACATTACAGGCAGGACTATAAGGAAGTCACATCTCTCAGACATGAAAATTTTGGGTTACCGCATCAGGTTAAAAAACAATCTTGATGCTAGGCACAATGGCTCAAACCTGTAATCTCAGCACTTTGGGAGACCGAGGTAAGGCGGTTGCCTGAGCCCACAGGTTCAAGAACAGCCTAGGCAACTTTGCGAGACCTCATCTCTATAATAAATCAAAAAATTACCTGGGCGTGGTGGCATGCACCTGTAGTACTGGCTACTTGGAAAGCCTAGGCAGAAGGATAGCCAGAGCCCAGCAGGTTGATGCTGGGGTGACCGTGAGCATGCCACTGCATTCCAATCTGGGCGATGGAGTAAGACTCCAACTCAAAAGAAAAAAAAAAAATCTTGTGGCCAGACATGGTGGCTTACGCCTGTAATCCCAGCATTTTGAGAGGCCAAGATGGGAAGATAGCTTGAGACCAGGAGTTCAAGACCAGCCCAGGCAACACACCAAGACCTCATCCCTACAAAAAATTGAAAAAACTCCAGATGTGGTGGCATGCACTTGTAGTTCCAGCTACTTGGGAGGCTGAGGTGGAAGGATTGCTTAAGCCCAGGAGGTTGAGGCAATGGCAAGCTGTAATCATACCACTGCACTCCAGCCTGGATGACAGAGTGAGACCCCTGACTAAAATACAACCCCCGCTAAAAAAAAAAAAAACCAGACCAACAAACAAAAAACCCCCCTTGATCTTGCAGACAATATAGTTGGAGGAAAACAAAAACAAAAAACCCCCTCTTCTACACCACAACAGAAAACAACCTTGACCAGCTGAGATACTGGATAAAGACAAAGGGGGCAAGAATTAGATTGTAGATAAGGAAAATCATTAATATCACCTAAGAGCTTGTGGCTACCTGCAGAAATTAAGATTATAGCATCCACTCATATTTTCCTCCTTTATTATATATATATAATAAATTATATATATATAATTTTAAAACCAGATTTCTTCTCTTCCTTTCTTCATATACATAGGATGTGTAGTTGTAGTTATTGGTTAGCTTTTGTGTTTGATTTGGAAGTTCCAGAATGTCATGATAAGGTCATGATTGGAGTAGAGGAGATCCTGGTTGTGGACCTGGATGCAGTAATGGTTGGGATATTGAGTTGTTCCCCTATTGTGTGAAGGATAGTTGTATTATGTGAGGCCAGATCATTTCTACTGAAGTGTAAATTGGTAAGAAGAGCTATGTGTTAATATTCTGCAACTGGAGGGATGGATTCTAGTGAACACTCTTCGTGTTTTTGGCTTCCCAATTTCTGCAAACTCTTCTAAGGCTTAGGTAATCCCCTATCTCATAATTCTTGGGAAAAGGACCTACTTCTCCCAACAAAAGAGAAAACCCTGAATAACTGATTTCCCAGCCTCTCTTGTGACTGCCCACTTGATACCCCTCATTCAGCCTTTAACACAAGGAAGAGGACACCAAGAGGAACTCAGGCATTGCTGTAAGATGGATTCCTGAGGCAGCAGTGGCAGCAGTGCTACTGGTATCACCCATGTCTAGTGACAGTTGTGTCAAAGCTGTGAATGGTGACGTTTATGCTTGGAGGGAGCAGCAACATTGGTGTGCTAACCATACTAGTTCCGTACCATGATTTGGACCACTGTAGCTGCTTCTGAGCTTAGTTCTCCAGCTTCCCAGTGTTTTTGAAAAGTGTTCATTATCATTTCATGAAATCCTGTTCTTTTAAACTCAGCAAGACTTGGTTTTTGTTATTTGCAACTAAGAACTGTGAGTGAGACAAGAATATAGTCAGTCATCGGAAGATAACTTGGGCCCCTGAACTGGACAGCCATCACAGCCATCAGATGCTTTCTCCATCTCTTGTCTACTTCTCTGTCTATGTTTACATTTTTGCTCTTATCTATAGACTTTTGATTTTTATCTACAAGTCAACCAGGAGAGTACTGCAAACTTCTGGATTTACGTGTTGTATGCCAAATCCTACTGAGAATGACCTGCAGGTTCTCAGCCCCATTTCCAGGGTCTCTAGTCCAATTATGAATCTTCACTGGGGAGGGAGTGATGGTGTATAAATCAGGCTGATGGAACCAATGCCCCTGAGTGTCTGTGGATTAGGAGGCCATTCCCAGAAAAGAGTTAAACATGGAGTTCCTCAGTCACAGCATGCTGTGCATGCTGATATATCTCTACCCACAGTTACAATAAGGTTATCCTTTACATAAAATGCTTTAAAGAATTTAGCACAACTCTGTAATGTCACTCTCCCCCATTTCTGTCTGCAGTTGTATCACTAACTCTATGCAGTAAATGACAAATGTGAGGGGGAAATGAAGGGTTCACTCAGACAACACTGCAATCACCCCAGTTTCTGAGCCAAGAAATTATTAAGGAAAATCTATTGATAATTGACTTTTCAAGTCTATAAGCATAAACATTGGCTTGCAAGGTGATGAAATTTGAAGTCTCAGGGAATTTTCTCTGGATCTTGTCTCCACTCATATTTCTCTTCCTCCAAGTTCTGACCCAGCAGTTGGAGAATATACCTTGTTGTCATTGTTGGGTCCGTGGGGACCAGGAAATAGGACAATTAATTACTTTTTGCTTCTCTATAATGAGACTCAGGGATTCTAGTCTCAGTGGAAATGGAGGCTCCTTAAATACCTGTCTGTGATTCCTCCAAACATCCTGTGGGCCAAGATCTTGAACATCTGCTCTTCACCTGCTCGGGACTTGCCTGCATTTCCAAGACTTTCCAATCCTTATAATAAAGAGGAGCAGTAACCATTTTCGCTGAGGTGAAGAACACTTGGCAGCGACAGTGCCAACTTCTTTTGGGCACTATTATAACAGTGAAGATGTCAATATTTCATTACAAGCCAGATACGTTATTTCAAACCCCCCTTTGCTAAGCCTTCCACAACCAGGGAGCAATAGCAAGAGTCTTGGATCCATCAGCTGGAGCCTGAGATAGATGAACTTCATAGGAGTGAAAGAACGCCTAGGAATGATAGAAGATACCTGCATGGTAGCAGAGAAGGGCTGTGTATGTGCCTGCATGTTGGTTTTATATTTGATAAAATTAAAAGAATGAGTATAATGGTACCTGTGCCATGTAGGACTGGGAGTTGGATTTGGGGGTGTAGAGACTAGGGGTGGATCCTGACTGAGCAACTTGAATGCAGGTTAACATGGTCATGGCTGGTGCTTGTCTTGTTGCATCCAGACCCTCAGCTTTGACATTTCTCACCTGTCTCTCTTCTCTGCATCTGGGACCAGATGCATGAGAGGGACAAACCAGTCAGGAGTCTCCGACTTCCTCCTCCTGGGACTCTCCAGGCAGCCCCAGCAGCAGCGACTCCTCTTCATGCTCTTCCTGAGCATGTACCTGACCACCATCCTGGGAAACTTGCTCATTGTCCTGGCAATTAGCACAGATGCCTGTCTGCACACTCCCATGTACTTCTTCCTCAGCAGCCTGTCTTTTGTGGATGTCTGCTTCTCCTCCACCAAGATGCTGGCCAATCACATACTCGGGAGTCACACCATCTCCTTCCCTGGGTGTCTCACACAAATATATTTTCTCTGTGTGCTTGCCAACATGGACAATTTCCTCCTGGCTGTGATGGCATATGACCACTTTGTTGCCGTGTGCCACCCCTTACACTACACAGCAAAGATGACTCATCAGCTCTGTGTCCTGCTGGTGGCTGAATCATGGCTAGTTGCCGACCTGAATGCTCTGCTGCACACCCTGCTGATGGCTCGACTCTCATTCTGCGCAGACAGTGCCATCCCCCACTTCTTCTGTGATGTGACCCCCCTCCTGAAGCTCTCCTTCTTGGACACGCACCTCAGTGAGATGATAATTCTTACTGAAGCAGGACTCATAATGATCGCCCCTTTTATTTGCATCCTGGTATTATATATCCTTATTGCATCTGCTGTCCTGGGGTTGCCATCTCCAAGGGGAAGGTGAAGAACCTTCTCTACCTATGGCTCCCACCTGGCCATGGTTTCCTTCTTCTATGGCACCATCATATCTGTGTATATCAACCCCTCATTCTCCTACTCAGCTGACAAAGATACAGTAGCTGCTGTGATGTATACAGTGGTCACCCCATGCTGAACCCTTTCATCTACAGCCTGAGGAACAAGGACATAAAAGGGGCTTTTGGAAACGTGGTTGCTTGCTATGGAATTTTTTCTATTCAATAATAATATGAGCCGGGCTCGGTGGCTCAGCCCGTAATCCCGCGCCTTTGGGAGGCTGAGGTGAGTGGATTGCCTGAGCCTGCGGGTTCGAGACCCACCTGGGCAGCGAGACCTCATCTCTACAATAAATCAAAAAATCAGCCGGGCGTGGTAG